TAAAAAACAATGTAAGGATGCAGAAATTCATAGAAAAACATAATCAGTTCATTTCACAGCTCTTTGAGTTAGTACTGTTGATATTTTAATCCCCATTTTACGAATGTGGAAGCAGAGGTTCACAGTTAAGGTGACTTCCCACACAGTATCAGAGGTGAGATTCAGACCCAGATTTTACTAGATTTCAGACCCAGTCCTCTTTCCATTCATTCTATGCTGAATATTTTTATGGCTTTGATAGAATACTGGCAAAACAAAACTGTTGGTTATCTCTTCCTTTTACCAGTTTGCAAATTTGATTTGTGATTTAAAACCATTTCATATCTCTCTAGCTGTTCTGTAACCATTAATTATCTGTTTTGTTTCTTAGCCTTTGTTCATTTTGGTAAACATTTAGGAGGTTCATGTGTGTGCCAGGCACCGTATTAGGCTGTGGGGATGCAAGGACAAAAATAGAAGTCCTTGCCCTCTGGTTGTTGACACTCTACTGAGGTGATACAACACATCAAAAATACTATTTGGGAGAACATAAAAGGCTCCCTATAGGACACACGACCTAAATTGAGCCTTAAAGGAAGCCTGGGATTCTCAGAGGAAGAGGTGGCATTCCAGACATGCAAGACTACATATACAAAGGAATAGAAATAAGCAATGGAAGTTCAGTTAAAGTTGAGTTCATTGCTTTGATGACTGGCCAATTTGTCTGGGAGAAGAGTGTGTAAAATGGATTAATGTGAGATGTTGGGAAATACATCTAGGAGTCAGAATGTGGCTTTTTAATGTTGCATTGAGTAGTTTGTGCTTTTATCTTAGAGGCGATGGGGAACCATTAAAAATTTTTGATCAGAGTGGTAACACAGTCTGAGGTGTCTTATAAATATTAATATTTATCAGCTCTGTAAATGGATGGGTTAGAGAGATGAGAGACTGAAGACAGAAAGACAAGTAGAGTAGCTATTCTCAAAAAACAGAGGTTATTACTATTTTCATGCTAGCCCAATTTATAAGAGTGGAATCTGAGACCTTCAGATGTTCAGATTATTTCTGGTCACAGGGCACATAGATCTGATTTTACATGTGAGAGTGTCTGAATACCCCTCTTTATACAGAAGGTTCTGTTTACTCTGGATGTCCCCTGTATATTCATTTCCCTTGCCCTCACATTCAAAAAACAATTTCCTTACTTAAATCTATCAAATGGCAATAATAATGAATCAATAAGCCAGCAGCAATGGAACCTCTGTACTTTGGCCAATTTATTTCATACCTATAACCTATCCTGAATCTCTTTCCTTTGCTCCTTTGCTCAAAATATCTTAAGATATTTTGCCTTTATAGCCATGAGGTAGCAATTTGAACTGGAAGCTACTCTTTCTGTTTGGGGATTCAGTGTGAAGTAATGAAAAGTATGTTCTTTTTGTAGCTAGGGGATACGTGTTCAAATACTGTTTCTGACACTAGTTGTGTGACCATGGGCAATTCATTAATTCAGTCAGGTTCTCTGATATTCAGGTTTTCCACTATTCTGGAAAACAGGGGCCATAATACTTAGGTAAACTACTTAATGATTTCTCATGAGGAACATGCTTTGTAAACCTCGAAGTACTCTGTAAATGAGAGCTTTTATTTATTCTTCTCTACCAGCCTACCTACCTAATCAGTGGTGCTTGCTGTTAATAGGAGATACGTAATCCAAATAGGGCTGGGCATGATAACACACAATCCCAGTTTTGGAAGAGAGGTAAACAGCCGTCTTATACTTAAAAATATTTGAACAAACAAGCAAACAAAAACTCTTCAGCATACCTGAGAAACGGTCATTGAACCTTTGATCTCCAGTAAGTGGAAAGTCACTACTTCTTGAAAGAAGTCCATTCTACTTTGCGGTTGCTCAACTTGTTAGGGAATCTTCTTTCTTTTTATCAAGTGCTTATAAAATTATGAACTGACTTGAACCTTACATCAAGCCTAAAATTTCCTCTTTGCAACTTCCACACAGTGATCTCAGTGACACCCTTTGGTGCCAAGTAGAACATGATAGCCCTTTAGATTTTTAAAGATGGATTTTATGTCCCCCAAACCTTCTCTTTTCCTTCAACCAGCCCTCTCTTCCTTCAAGTTGCAGCTCAGGCATTACCTTTTTTCTGAAGCCTTTCCTGATTCCCCTCTTCCCACCTGCTATTGCCCTTGCTCTCAAGTAATTTTATATTTAACCACTTTGTATATATTTTTATTTATTCACATTGTGTTTATAGTTCATATATTGACATACATACCTTTTTGTCTCCTCCTTTAGCTGACATTCTGAAGACAGAAAGTATTGATATCAATACAAAATATCTGACACAGAGTAGATGCTTCATAAATACTTGTTGATTGATTGATTAATTTCAAGACTTTTCACCATCCTGGTTGCAAACCTCTGGATTTCTCCAGTTTGCCAATATCCCTCGCAAAATGCAGCTCTCAGAATGAAACAGAAAACTCCAGATGGGGTCTAAGTAACAGCAAGATTATTGCTTTCCTAGTTCTGGACACTACATCTCAGTGTAGACTTCAAGAGCTCATTAGCTTTATTGGGTGTTCTATAAACTATTAACTCATATTGATTTTGCAGTGCACTAACCACTCCCCACCCCGAGATCTTTTTCTCAGTGCTATCTAATCATTTCCTTCCCATATTATACTTGCAAAGTTGAATTTTGAACCTGATTATCATCATTATTTTCCCTATTACATTTCATTTCATTAGATTGAGCCCATTTTTTAAGCCTCTTATTTGTTCAATGTATTAATTATCTCTCCCCCGCTTTGTAGGGGGAAAGGGAAAGAATTTATATAGTACCTACTATGTGTCAGGCACTGTGCTAGGCACTTTACACGTATTATCTTATTTGATCCTCACAACAACTCTGGAAGATGGGTGCTATTATTACACCCATTTTATGGTTGAAGAAACTCAGGCAGACAGAAGTTAACTGACTAGTCTGGGTCACACAGCTAGGAAGTGCCTGAGGCTGGATTTGAACTCATCTTCCTGATGTTAGGTCCATTGTAGCTCTATCTACTCTGCCACCCATTCCCTTTATAATATGTTTTAACTTGATAAGTGAGCCATCTATACCTTTACCATACCATTGACTCTTTTTTCTTATAACGTTAATGAGCACAGTACAAAGCAGAGATCACTGCATCATTCCTTGTGAGATTACCTTCTTTGTTGACAGTGACTAATTAATTGATAACTCTTTGGTTCTAGCCATGTGGCCAGTTTGTAATCTATTAAAATCTAGCATCCTCTATTTTACATTATCTTCACTTTGTCTTTGTCAAATGTCTTGCTAAAATCTTAGTAAATTGTATGTCCCATATTCCTTTTATCTAATAAGCTAACAACGCTATTGAAAAAGGAAAATTTTGGGGCAGCTAGGTGACACAGTGGATAGAGCAGTGGCCCGGGATTCAGGAGGACCTGAGTTCAAATGTGGCCTCAGACACATAACACTTACTAGCTGTGTGACCCTGGGCAAATCACCTAACCCCATTGCCTAGCCAAAAAAAAAAAAGAAAAGAAAAAGTAAAAGGAAAATTTGGATAGCCTGGCATTATCTCTTATTGATGAATAGATGCTAGCTATTTGTGGTTACTGCTTAGGTTTCTAAATGCTCACTAACCATCCCTTTAAAAACATGTTCTAGAATTTTACCAGAAATTAAATTCGATCTCCCTGTTCTGTAGTTTGCATATCTAGGAAGTGATCATGCAGTATAGTGGAAAATATGTTGGAGTTGGAATTGAGAGGGGCATGGCTCCAAATCTGTATGACCAGTAGTTATTAGCTCTGTTATTGTTATTGTCATTCAATTGTTCAGTTCTGTGGAACTCTCTGTGACCCCATGAACTACACTGCCCTCGGGATTTTCGGGGCAAAGATTTTGTTGTTGATCAGTGTTTTCTCCATTGGGTCTGACTCATTATGCCCCCATTTAGGGTTTTCTTGGCAAAGGCAGTGGAGTGGTTTGCCATTTTCTTCTCCAGCTCATTTTATAGATAGATAGAGATATATGTAGATAGAGATAGAGATATATATATAGATAGATAGATAGATGTATAGATATATATAAAATAGGGTTAAGTGACTTGCCCAAGGCCACACATCTAGAGTCTGAAATCGGATTTGAACTCAGGAAGAGGAGTCTTTTTGACTCCAAGCCAGGGACTCCATCCATTGTGTCACTTCGCTGCCCCCTGGGCACCTTCTCCAATGGCTTAAGGGAAACAGAAGTTGGGTGACTTGCCCAGGACCACACAGCTAGTATGTGTCTGAGGCCAAGTTTGAACACAGGTTTTCATGACTCCAGGCCTGTGCCCTGTCCACTGAGCCACCCAGCTGCTGCTTATCAGCTGCATGTTGTTGTTGCTCATTTGCTTCAGTCGTGTCTGACTCTTTGTGACCCCATTCGGGGTTTTCTTGGCAAAGATACTGGACTGGTTTGCCATTTCCTTCTCCAGCTCATTTTACAGATGGGGAAATTGAGGCTAACGGGGTAACTTGCCCAGGGTCACACAGCTAGTAAGTTCTGAATTAAGATTTGAATTCAGGTCTTCCTGACTCCGGGCCTAGCACTGTGTCCGCTGTGCTGCCTAACTGCCCCATTAGCTCTGTAGTCATGACCAAATTTAAGTGTTTTAAATCTTATTTTTCTCATCTGCAAAAATAATACTAGCTGCTATACTTACTTCATAGAGGAGTTGTAAGGAGCGAATGAGGCTAAATACACTTGTAAACCTTAAAATGCAAAATAAAGCTATTTCATTTTTGTTATGGTTATTGTCACTAGGACTCCAACGTTGCAGCCACCACAGCCTTGGCTTTTTCTGGAGATTAGCCATTCCATTGAACCAGTGATAAATCTGCAGAAAATGCAGGGTCTGGGCTCATTCAGACCCAAACGTCATCTGTTGAAGGAGTAACCCGGATGAATGGGGCTGTGTTTCAGGTCTCTCCCTGCGAGAAATGCCACTGTGAAGCCAGCGGTGAAGTGCTTTGCACTGTGTCAGCTTGTCCTCAGACGGAATGTGTGGACCCTGTATATGAGCCAGATCAGTGTTGTCCCATCTGCAAAAACGGTAAGTGTGACAATGATTTACAAATTCTGTTTCAGTGGACTAGTGTGGCATCTACATGTGTGCATCTACACACAGCCATTTAGAAGCAAGATCTTTTCCACTTCACTACTCTGGTGATATCCCATGAAAGGCAAAACTTTCCTCTGTAAGTTGGAACAAGATTCCCATAGTCAGGTTTATTTCTGTGTTCTAGCTTCAAATCCATTCCTGCAGACCAGTCCTTCTTCTGAGACAAATCAAACATGCTATTTGATCTCATTTACTTTTCATTACTAAATGAATTAAATTTGGGATGTAATTGAATATTTTTCATAACCAAATTATGCAGGGTTGGAGCTTCTTTTTACCATTGAGACATCAGGGTAGAACAAAGACCTTTTCCACTCTGCTAAGAAAGAAATGACAGTGTACTCTCAATCTTAGTGTATAAGGGAAAAGTAATTACAGTCCTAAATCTCAGCTGACATTACTTTTTGGTTAGGCTTTGTGACCAGGTAACCAGAGACATTCTGATTTCTCCATAGGAAAGCACCAAACTGAATGGAGTAAGTACCCTGAACAATCAGCAACTTCTCCCCCATTCCCCAATCAAAATGCAATAATAGAGCCATGATTATGGAACCGTCATTAGAAAATAAGGATTGCTCTTCCTCTGTAGATTTCCCATGCTAATCATGACATGCATCTGCATCCCTTTTTACATAAGTAGGCAATCTAATCAGATCTGTGACATCAGAGGATAAGGTCTGATCCTTTCACTGTAGTTTCTGTGTATACTGTACAGGTAAAATGTGAGTGACTTGACCACTTTACAAGATGAGGATGAAGAGGACTGTGGCCATAGTATATGCTTTTGCAAGTGTAAATGCAAGACAGGAGTGGGAAGAGCTCCAAATTTAGAGTCTAAATGACATGATTACAGATCCTGTCGTTTCTACATTCATAAGTGACTTCTTTGGCCCTCACTTTCTTCATTTCTAAAATGAGGAAATTTGAACAGATGATCACTAAGGTTTTTTCTAGCTCTAAATCTATGACCTGAGAAACAAAGTGGTTTCAGGAGAGAGGATATTGTGAAATACATTAGAATAGGGAGAATTCTCATTTCGGTATATATAGAAGTTGAGAAGGCTTATTATTTTTCCAATATGCAGTGGCCTCGAGGACATGAGCTGTGTTTTCTATTTAAATTTTAATTTTTTTTAATACTTCACAGGTCTTACTAAGCATGGTTCTGGGCACAGTGTAAGTGCTCATTACTTCTTGACTGAAGTGGAAGGATCAAGTAAGCTCTTGAGTTGTATATTGACACATTTGGTGTGAAAACTCCATGTATCTTAGCATGTTCATTAGAATTTTGCCTTTTGTGATACTCATTATGCACATTCTTTCTATAACAGATCAGTCTCATCATATTTGTTCCTTGGTGTGCTTATCATCAGGCAAAAAAAAAAGGCTAACTAAAAGCCTTCCCTTTGAATAGTTTATTAGGCAAGCATTCACTTTCTAGTATTCTCTGTTTTTCAAAGATGATTTGAAAGTGTATAGAGAAAATATACTTCACCCTGCACCAAACCAGTAACACTTTTGGACTTGATACAAATGAATTACTCTTTCAGTGCAATTCAGTTCAATACGATATTCATTAAGCACCTACCACATTTGGCCGAGTTGACCCTTTTGTTAGCCAGTGTCTCCCACAAACGTTAAACATCCAAAAATGTTCCTTAGGCTTGGGCCAGCTGCCGCTGTACCTGTGAGCCCCAGAGCCTGACCCACCTGCTGCTTCCTGGGTATCATTACCACCTGGGTATCATTACCACCAACCTTTTACAACACACACACATACACACACACACACGTGAGTGGGATAGAGACCACTTACTCAATAAAAATTCAGAGGTTTCTCTCAGTAGAAAGAGAAGTTTTATTTTAGCAAGTCTCACGCGAGAATTGGGCATCACCTACCCAGGGTGGACTGGAGAAGGGAGACAGGATGCAAACAGCAAGCAAGCAGTTAGCAACCCTTAGACAAACAACTCTAAGAAACCCCCCCACACACACACTTATTTACCTCAATTTCTTTATCCTCATTGGTTGAGGTAAGAGACTTACATTCTACCTACCTACTAAGAGATACATTTTACCCAAAACAAGCTTGGGAGCTAGAAGATTGCCTTACTTGTCAAAGATAAGGCTGGGGTGGTGGTTACAAAACAAGGGAGGGGGTGGGCAACAGATGTATGACCTGATCACATGATTTACAGGAAAATGAAACTTAGGCCCAGCTAATGCTAAAGCCTTAACTAAATTTTGGGGCATAGCTTCCATTTCATATTAGAAACTTTCACTTGTCCCACACACACGTATGTATGTATGTATAACATACTCTCTCTATAGATTTCTTTTTTCAAAGCTTAGCCTGTGGAAGAGGCAACAGCTTTCTAAATACTCATGTACCTTGTTTGAAGTAAACATAAAATCATTTAAGTTCCCTAAGGTTGTTGTTTTTTGTTTATTTGGGTTTTTTTTTTTTGGTTTTTGTTTTTTATTGTTAGTTAATAGAAAGGAGTTTAAATGACAAAGAGGAAAATTACAAGTGCCCTGTTTTGCCCAGAGATAAAGTGATGCAGTCTAATGATCTAGCAGGCAGAGTCTGGGAGGGTCATTTTTCTCCTGGACAGAAGGATAGATCTGAATGGAAAGTCCAGTAAGTATGAACTTACTGGCCAGGCCCAAGCACTAACAAAGTTTCTACCAAACACTGAATTCTAAGGAGCTGAAAGGAAAGTGGGGAGCCATGGCAGGAGTGGAGATTTGAGTAGAAAGGTCAGTACCCAGATCAAGAGGAAAGGAGTGTATTAGGAATTGAACATCTCTGTGATTTCAGCCTGTTTTTCCAAAGGTTTATCATTGTCATCATTGTTGTTGTTGTTTAAATGGATCCTGTTTGATTTCAATACCTTCATCTTCTCCTGAGATGTCCTCACGTTCACAGGTTTGGCCAGTGTGTTTCTTTCTGACTCATCCATGCTTGTAACCAGTAGACCCTACAGATTTACAAAGTGTTTAAAAGAGAACCCTTGTCTTCACTGAAATTTAAATGGAGCAAGGTATTAATTTTTGTAGCTCATCTTTTCCTTTAGTGACAAACTTCTGCCTTCTTGTCTATGGAATCAATTCTGGCTTAATCCTGATGTTTTTTAAAAAAGTTCTTTCTAAAGAATACTAAAAACTTCAGAAATCTCATCAAGATAGTTACAAATCAGGACTTTAGAAGACTGATGGGAAAGCAAGTCTCTTGCCTCTCACAAGAGAGGAGGTGGACCATGAGACATGCATTTTCAGACACATCTAGTGTGTTGAATTGTTTTGCTTTACTATTTTTTTTGTTATAAGATGGTTTTTTTGGGTGTGGAAGCAGGCTACTGGAAAGTGATGGTAGTGGTATTTGTTTTTTAAAAGGGCCATCAATAAAATGTTTTTTTTTTAAAAAGCTGCTACTAAAATATTTCTTTTCCATAGGTTAGTAAATATTACAGAAATCTTTCAATAAAAATTACGTAACCCAATAATAATAAACATTAAGCAAGCTGGCTGTTTCAAGAGTAAACTATGTAAATTCTCCAAATTTTCCTTAGAACGCATCTACCTGATATGACTTAGCTTTGAGCCTTGAATAGTATTTAGGATTTAGAATGCGGAAATAGAGCATGTTAGAGCTAGAAAGAATATTAGGTATCATCTGGTCCATATCCAGATGTGGAAAATGGAGACCTGAGAGGCCAAGGGATCTTAGTTAATTCTTCTCTTCTAGTCCAGTTACCCTGCTCGCTGTGCCATGTGCATAACATTGCATCTCCCAGTGCCTGACTTAAGAATCCTCATGTTTAGGATGCCCTGCTTTTCCACTTTACCATGTGAAATTCCTAACATTCTTCAAAGCACATCATAGGGGCCATTACTTGTATGAGGCTTTTTGTGATTTCCCCCTCAGCTGTTAGTACTCTCCTTCCCTTTTACCTAATATGTACATATTTATAGAATCTATGTAATTTTCTTGGGAGCAGGGCTTGTTTTAGTCATTGTATCCTTCTTGCCTACTATCTTATGCCTTGAACATAGTAGGTGCTTGATAAATATGTTGAATTGAAATGGAAGAGCCAAGACTTGAACCCAGACCGTATGACTTCAAATTTAGGATTCTCTCTAATATCCTCTTGACCTTGACAAAAATAATATCATTCTAGAGTTTTTGTGTATGAAACCCACTTGGAAAACACTTGATTTGGCATCATGAATGGATGTTCTGCTTTTAATTGGCTGGGTCTTAATAAATGATTCATAATACCAAAGGAAATATCAACATTTCAGTTAGGAAAAAATAGCATTAATGATCCATAGAAGATTTATTTGAGGCCAAGAATAGTTACTATGTAAGAAACAGCAAATCCAATCTATATTTTTTCATGTCTATATAAGATTAACTTGGGTGAGTCTGAATGTTGGAGATTTTTTAACTGGTGACCTTCATAAACTGCCCCACTGCTCTTTAAATCCTCGCTTTGACTTTCTGTACTTAATATTTACTTCTTGCATCAGAGGGAAAAATTATAGTTTAGTTGCTACTTGCCAAGCCAGTTCCTTGCCATGAAGCATCATCAAAGTGGCAAAAGTATGAACTTAAGAGTACCTTGAATATAAATAAATGATCACAAATCAGGTGAAGCTTAATATATTCACCTTGTTGACTTGTATAGATCAATCACTGTGAAAAAATTTTTAATAAGGCAGAGCTGTATGGAGGTATTTTTCCATGGTACAGTCTGTGTTATATTGACTTTCGCGAGCACGGGCTTTCTCAGGTGATGGACAGACTTCAAAGGTTGAGAGATTCTGTATGATTATAATCAGCCCTACAGGCCTGGATGCTGCTCTGAGTATGAAATGGGTTATAAGGCTCCAGGGTCTAGCTGCAAGAGGAGACAAAACAATAAAAA